TATTGATCAAAGATTATCTTGGCACTCCCATCTGGAACTACTATCAAGCAGAATTAGAAAACTTATTTGGATTTTTAAAAACCTTAAGATATGTTGCAACAAATAAAATTCTAAACCAAGTCTATACAGCTCTTGCTGAATCAATTTTGACATACTGCATCCCAGTATGGGGAGGAGCATCAAAAATTAAATTCCTAGAATTAGAACGTAGTCAACGGGCCTTACTAAAAGTTATGTTCTGTAAACCATATCGTTTCCCTACAAAAGAGCTATACTCCATTAACAACTTACTAAGTGTGAGAAAGATATACATATTACAATTAATACTACAGAGGCATAAAACAGTAACTATAGACATAAACACGAAGACAAAAAGACGAGTTAACATTAGAGTAGAAACAGGTATTGTAAAAACTAAATTTGCTAGTCATCAGTTTGCTAAGAAATCGGCTTCTATATACACAAAGGTGAATGGTATGATAAAAATATATTTGCTTAATAATTATGAACTAAAAAAGTCCCTGACTGCCTGGCTTGCAAAATTAAATTATGAAGAAGCAGAAGCTTTATTCAATGAAATTACCTAAACATCCACTTCAACATTTTATTTACACAAGTACATGCATGCGCGCGCTCACATACACACATACACACACATACACACATACACACACATACACATACAACACACACACACACACACACACACACACACACACACACACACACACACACACACACACACACACGCACACACACACACACACACACACACACAGACACACATTTTTTTTTTTCTATTATTTTTATTTTATTTTTATTTCTTTTTTTTTCTATTATTTATAAGTTGTTGGTTAATATAAAAAACACTATTGAGTTGTATAATTTTAAGAAATTTTCTACGGAAGAGCGGGACATCCTGGCACAGGTATCTATTTACTTAAAAGGATGTCCCAATAACGGACTTAATGTATTTAAAAACTCTTTTTATTAATAAATCATTTTTCATTTCATTTCATTTCATTTTCATTAGATGCTGGATCTGCTTATTGTATTCTGCCTTCAGCTGAGGGTCTTTGTCTATCTTCTTTTCAATGTTGAACAATCGGTTCTTGGCAGACGTGTAGCTTTCAGGCATCTGTTCATCTTCATTTTTCCATAGAAGTCCAGCTTCAAATCGACCATCTTCTAGTCTTCTGCAGGTCTTCTCTAGGATGGTGAGTGCTCTTTCTTCTGAATCCGTAGTGGGTCTTCTTGGTAGTACTCCAAGTGCTTCGATTGCGAAGTGATCCTTGATGGCTTGATGCATCTCTTCTTCTGGCGTGCTGACATGTAGACACGTGTTTAAGAAGTGCACCACTTTCGCGCCTCCAGTGTCTGACCCGTGGAGCACCCATCCAAGTCCTGTTCTTGAAGTGACTGGTTGTCCTGGTTTCCCTCTTCTTACTTCTTGAGTCACGATTAGCTCCCAGTTGTCTTGACCGATGAGCAGCTGTGGTGACTCCCCCTTATAATATAGAGAGTCAGCAATCTTCTTCAAGTGTTGACACTCTTCTATCCTTTTCTTTTCTAGGAACTGCGGTGCAAGCTTCAACTCTTCGATGGTCCGGACTCTTCTCAAGGTCTTCTTGGTCTTCTGATGAATCCCCTTCACCGTAAGGTCAAGCATCTGAGAGTCTTCCTTCCTTATCAGCCTGCCTCCAACAGTCTCGATGACCAGTTCCTCCTTTCTTCCTTGAGCGCCGATTTCTTCTGCTACCTTCTGGTCTAGCAGCGACACTGTTGACCCTTCATCCATGAGGGCCAATATCTTCTTTGATCCTTTTGACCCGAAGATTTCTATCGGAATTATCTTCAGGTATGCCCTTGCGTTGTTGACCGCATTCACCGATGCCATGATGCTCGCCACTTCTTGTGGTTTGTTCTTCTGTTCTTCCGAGGAACTTTTCTCTGTCTCGACGTGCAGCAGATGATGATGCCACCTCTTGCATTCCTTGCACGACGGCTTCTTGCAGCTCTCCTTCCGATGTGTCCCTTGTAAACACTTGAAGCAAACGCGGCTTTTCTTCACTATTGCCCATCGATCTTGCACAGACGCCTTCAGGAACTTCTGACACCCGACGAGGAAGTGTTCACCCTCACACATGGGGCAAGTCTTCTCTGATCTTGAAACCTTTTCTTTGAAGTCCTTTTCCTTAGTTGAATGCGTTGCTTGTCGATGAGTCCGTCTGAACCCGCTCTTCTCTTCTGTTGATGCATAGGCTCCACACTTGTCTGCTTCTCTGTTCAGGAACTTGGACACCAGTGTTAGGTCGGAGAACTCGCCTTCTTCTGTTGTTTCAATGAAGTCGTACCATCGGAACTTGAGGATCGTAGGCATCTTCTCAATAATTTATTTCACCATCTCAGGTGAATGCAGGTACTGTGGTTTCTTCAATCCTTTTATTGCCGCTACGCTGTTGCTGATCTGGCTCGCGAAGAGGCATATGTCCCTTGGGTTTTCAGAAATCTTCGGCAACGTTTTGACCTTGTCCAACTCTGCCAGCACCAGTGCATCTGGTCTTCCATATCTTCTTCTGAGGGCTTGAATCACTTCCATCGGAGAGGCTTCGGAGTACAGCAGACTCTTGATAGCTTCTCTTGCGTTGCCCTTCAGTGCTCTTCTTAGCCGAGCCATATTCTGGACGTTGTTGAACATCGGTGCTGTATCTTCATAGACAACCTTGAAGGCCATCCACTCGCTGCTGTTGCCGTCGAAGTAGGGTAACTCGTGAATGTAGGTTGGCTGTCCTGCTGGTCCTCGCGTGGTAAGAGCTTCCTTCAATGCTGCCGTCAGTGCTTGAATTTCAATCGTAGCTCCTCTCGTTGAGGAGTTCTCTTCAGGCTTCATCTTCTGTGGCTCTTCCAAGGGGTGTGGACCTCGCATCTCTGGTTGAACTTTGTTGCCATCCTCCAGCACAGACGTCTCGATCCAGTTCTGCACCTGTGCTGTTCTGTCTTCCAGGTCTTCATCCACGGAGTCCTCTTCTTCACACTGTGCCATCTCCAATCTGACACGGGCTAGCTTAGTTTCAGCCTGTGCTTGCTTCAACTCCAGGCGTGCCAACTCTTCCTTTGCTTCTAGCTCGCGTCTTCTGGCCGAGGAACTCGTGGTCTTCGTGGACCTGGCGCGACGACTGACCCCCATCGGTTTCAGGGTCTTGGAGGAGCCTTGAACATCCTTTCCAGGTACATCTTCTTGGCTCTTCCTGGTCATCCTCTGTGCAGCATCTTCTTTGTTGCCTTCCATAGACGCCGCCGTAGTTGCAGTCGTAACCGTAGTCTCCGTCACTGTGGTGCCCTCCGTGGTCGTGGTACCCGAAGAAGTGTTCGATGTAGTTGCAGTTCCCGATGACGCCGACGCTGACGTGACCCCTTCTGATCCCGACGTTCCATCTGTCGCGTCCCTATCTGAAGGACGGGACCCGGGACGTGAGGGGGCATCCTTCTGCGACCTGGTTACCGGCATCTTGAACGCAATCTTCTGTTTCTTCTGAACTTCTTCTAGCAGGGATCCGGCTCGAAGGACCAACTGTTTCGGACGACCAGAACCAGGGTATGTCTAGTACCCGGAGGTCGACCTGGGACAATCTCCCAGACGTTCTTGGCGTACACGGCAGTATGTCCGTTCGCTGGTAATGTACGCCACCACGCACCCCTGAATGCGTAGCTTGGGTCCCGATCCACTAGGGTTTCTTCGTTGACAGGAGACTATACTTAGAGGCGATGAAATAAAACACAATTTTTCCTTTTTTCTCTCTTGGTTTCGGTTCTTCCTTTTCCTTTTAGTTGTTGCCTCTTCGGTGGCTGTCTTGCGACTGACTCGAATCGAGAAATGGCTCGCCTTTTATTTGGCCCGTTAATACCTTACAGAGAGCCGCGTACTTTGAGCTCGTTTTTCGAATAAAATTTCCCTAAACCGAAACCTTGAGAGTCCTTTTATTTTATGTTTTCAGTAAAACACCTTACACATATTTATTTATTTACATGCCTTACATACTATTATACAATATTAAAACATAATATTCAATATATAATAATTAATTAAAAAAGTCTTAAAACAAAAATATCTAAATTTCTAGGTTGCTACATTTTTACTATACATTTTCCCTTATAACTTTTGAACGGATAGTCCTATCGACCTAATTCTTGTTTTATTATAAGTTTTATAATAAAATCTATTATTTAAAACATAAACTATTATGCTATTGCAAGAAACAAAAAATCTCATTTTCAAGTTACGTAATTATATGCTAACATTTTACTTACGTACCTATTCCTTTCAAATTAATGTTAAATAGTCTTATATGATTCAAATAAGCAAAAAATACTCTAAACTAACCTTATTACACTAATTAGAACTTATTTTAACATAATAAATCTAATAAGAATGAGATTTCATATTTACAACAATTATTCATAATACGCTAAAATGACATTGTCCCTATATTAATACACACGTTACTCGAAGATAAGTTTTCCGTCGCCGACATTTATAATACATCGTAGGTATAAATGTCCGAACTATTCCACACACTTCACTTTCAATTTGTGATACATTTGCAAATTAATTTCTTTTTCTGATTTTTTGATAAATGTTTGCGTTTGTGCCAGAATTTCACTTTAGTTATCTATTGGTTTTAAATAAGCACATTCAGTAGGTACCTAATGAAATGCTATAAGCTTTTCCCTCCCGAAGTTGCCACATAGAATAGGCACACCGCACAGTACGTACCTATTTATTGATATTTACATAAAGTTAGTACCATTCAATTGTAAGCATTTGCGACATCACTCCGTTTTTGAACTTATATTATTCTTAATTTAAGCGAATTTAATAGATTTTTTATGGAAACTCAGGTGGTAGCAGATACCTCTCAAAAGTATAAAATTTCAAATTCTTCATATGAATTTGCTCTAGATAATTCATAAGACTATATCCTCATCTCATATACACTCACCGCCTCGATTATATGGTGTTCCTTTTTCAGCAGCACTTCCGTGATCGCCTCCTGGATCTCCTCCCACATACGCGTCGTGTTTTTGCCCTATTCGGAAAGAGACATTTTACTAAACTTTGTTTATCAATTAAATATTCCTCAAAAGATCGCTCGCTTATATACTTTGGCCTGTTGTAGTATTTGGCCATTAAAAGCTTAGGTAAGTTTTCTTATTAATTAAATTTTTCATTAAAATATAATTACGAAATTTAGATTTTTATTTTATTTTTTATTTTATTTTAATTAGGATATCCAACAAAAGATACACACAATATACAACATCATATAAAACATAAAGCAAATAAGACTCACAATACGTGTGCTCCTTCACTTATAGGAGACCACAGCTTGCTCATTAATTTATTTTACGTTATATCTAAGTTTAAATTAAGAAAAAATTAACGTCTAGAAACAAATCTGAAACTATATACAGAGATACAAAAACAAAAGAAAAAAAAATAAACAAATCATATTACAACACATTTAAACATTTCTACTAAAGTTACGATAAGAATTTAGTAATACTACTTTTGAATTGAAACATATTAGTGGAAAAGATATCTAATTCAACATGTTGTTTAGAAAGCGTATTGTACTGTCGACAGATCCTTGGAATAGCGGCGTGATATCTCAAATTCGTTTTGCACAATGGAGTATAAAACAAACTATATGTATTTTTCCGAGGCAAGCGAGAGGGTACGTTAAATTTTAGAAGCTGTAGTAATTCATAATATACGTAATATTCTTATAAATTAGAATAACCTACTAATTATAAAAAAATATATTACATATTAGATATTATGTATATAATTTTTGCTTAAATGATAAGTATAAATTAACGGTAGGTATTTATTTTGTTATCAACGCCTTCTTATAAGTCTCAAGTTATACATTATTGAAGATTCTTTATATATAAAAGTAATACTTATATACAACAAAATAAGAAGTTAGTGCGACACACCGCTAACGACACAAGCAATAGCTGAAATAAAACCGTTTTTAGCAGGTGAAGTAGGTAGACCTGCCGCTTGCCGGCCAGTACGTCGGCACTATATGGAGTGAGAGATTACCAGGAGTACTGAGCGCAGACATGGACTTACCCTAATACGTTTGATTATCGCGACGGGCAACGTGAACGGTGACTGACAACCGATAGGGCGATTCGTTAATCCTATTGCGTCGTGTCGCGGGGTGATCGACATATTAGCGTGCAGTGGCTAAGCGTGGCGCCAGCCAACGGGCAGGCCGTCTACAGACTACCAGCAGCTTTAAAGGGCACTTCACTATCTGATTTCCTAATAAGTACCAGAAGCTTCCCCACACGTTTTCGCATTGAACAATATAAATGTCACTGAAACTAATTTTTTATCATATAGCTTTTAGTGGTGTCACAATTTAACAATTTAATTTTCTAATCGAAAACGAAGAGGACGCCATGGAGTTTGTTTACAGTTATAGCATATAAGTTTCGCATAAAAAATATCAAAAATATCTTTACACCATGTGACAAATTACGAATATTTAGTATTTACATCACGACATATACCTACTTGTAGGTACTTCGCTATCAGCCTACGCTAAATAAAGCTTTGATTTTTTGTTCTTTTATGTCACGCTAACGATATTAAGTTATATTTGCTTGTGTACTCACGTAATTCACTTAAATTATAGTCGCAGGCCACTTATATTTACTTTCGTGGAGTCGCTTCGTGCACGACATACTCGTATGACTAACCTTTTTATTATTATGCCTAACAACTTACCCTCGGCCTCGCTTTGCTCAACGGAACCCTAATTCTTGTTCAAAATAAAGGTAGCCTAAGTTACTTCTAATAACATCAGCTATCTGCCAGTGAAAATCCCGTCAAAATCAGTCAAGCCATTTCGAAGATTAGCCGGAACAGACACTAAAATCTTAAAAATTGTGTTTTTTTAGTACCTATATAATTTAATATGCATTTAGTTATTTTTTTACATTACAAACAGATACTTCAATTTTATTTACCTACATACAGGTACCTTTTAATAAGATATGTAGTTTCAACAAATTTGTTAAAGTAGGATTTCATAGAGGACTAGCTCGATGTTTTGGGTGTAGAAGGGAACTAATAAATGTCTAACACAGTATATTTATAAGATATACACAGTTAGTACCTATATTTTACATACACTAAAAAGGCGTACGGACCTTAAAATCACTCTAAATCAAAATATTCCATCCTTTGGGTTAGATTTTATTAATAAAATTAAACTATCCTTGACAAAAATTAACAAAAATTAAAAAACCCGATTGCGTAAAAACGAACTAAAAAGATGAGAACGAGATGACGAAGGAACATAATATTATGCAGTCGAAGACAGGTAGGTACATGTTTTATAATATGTTGCGCGTGTGTGTGTGTGTGTGTGTGTATGTCTCCGACTGCATAATACTTTGTTCCTTCGCCATCTTGTTGTTATCTTTTTCGTTAGTTTTTTACACAGTCAAACAAAACAGCTTGTGGCAATAGCGAAAGTCTATGTCTGTTTAACGTTAGGTTTGTGGACTCCCTTATTCTACCCCTTTTTTAGCACACCATGGTGTCGTGTTATTTATCGTCTAGTGAACGGATTTACATGGCAAGTGCCAGTTAATACGCTACTCATTGACTCATTAAAAGCGAACGAAACAAAATGGGTTGTCTGAACTATGAGCTCTCCAGCCTAGGCTGAGAGCCTCGCATCGATTGCTATAGATACTTCGCTTTGCGCTCTGCGCATTTATGGGACTATACGTTATTGTACTCGTACTTTAGTAGGAAACTATTTTTACAACGAGATATTCATTAAAATATGTAGGTACCTACCTATTAACATAGTTTGCACAAATAAATCACAGACTCTTGGTCTTAATGTAGACCAAGAGTTCATTTTAATATTATACTAGCGGCTCACCCTCGCTTCGCTCGCGTTCGTCCCTAAGTACGTTTTAAATAGATATAAATATTTATTAACCAGCGTTAGCCATATAATTATTATTTTTCGTGAATTTTTCCGATGTTTTATTCTGCTATTCTAGGCGGAGACAAATCCAACAAATCAAAAACTACGAAAATCGGTCTAGCAGTTCCCGAGTTATAATTGTTGTAACAAACCCAACTTTGCTTTATATATATATATATATATATATATATATATATATATATATATATATTTATTGAGTAGGGACTATTGCCTCGGTGGTGTAGTGGCTAGCATGTACGGCTGCACACCCGGAGGTCCTGGGTTCGAGTCCCGGGTCGGGCCAAGTTTAGTTATTGAGTCTTCCTGTATAGTAAGTCTAGTAACAGCCCGGAGTTGGGAAGTTGGTGGTGTTTCACCCCCGTGCCTCGGAGAGCACGTAAAGCCGTCGTACCTGCGCTTAACTCTCACCGGTCGTGTCGAGTGGTCGTCCCACCGGAGTATGAGAGTGATAGGAATAGAGAGTGCACTTGTGTCTGCGCGTACACTTGAGTACTATAATATCTCCTGCGCAGTTGCTAATCTCAATGAGATTGGCCGCCGTAGGCGGAATCGGCTAGGCGAACATCATCAAATCAGGTACTATTGATATAGAGTTAAAAATAATTATTTAAATATCTAGTTTAAAGAGATAGAACCCTGTATTTATTCTAAAAAATGTGCAATGTTAGGAGAGATACCTTAGAGGTCGCGTAGTGGTCGAAGGCGTCCTTCATGCCGAAGCCGAGCGCGGTGTAGACGCGCGCCAGCGACGGCACCTCCCACGTGGGCAGGTAGTCGTCCGCCACCACATATTTGTCTAGATTCTTCGGATCAAAAGGGTAGTACTTTGCTGGACAGTACCTGCAAATGTAAACGTAGCGTCGTGAAATAAAGAAGACAGTTTCGCGACGTCCTTAGGATGTCATGGTAGCTGTTATTGGAGTACAATAAGCACTTACTATATCCTATATAGTACCCGGAATTAGAACCAAGGACCTGCGGAATTGAACCTGTCGCTGAACGCTGGCTATCTATCCCGCATAAAAACTTCTGGGCAAAAGAATTCCAAAAAGCACTTTTAGTAATTCGGTTAAAAATGTTGTGTTTGGCCGTATTTATACATACACTAGCGACTCACCCTCGCTTCGCTCGGGTTCGTCCCTAGCTTGCTTCCCAAAACAAACTTTCATCCCCTTAAGGGGTGATTTCCGGGATAAAAAGTATCCTATGTCTTTCCCAGGGTCTCAAACTATCTTTGTACCAAATTTCATCTAAATCGGTTCAGTAGATCCAAAGATTACCCCCCTACAACGTCACAAACTTTACCTCTTTATAATATTAACTAGCATTGCCCGCGGCTCCGCCCGCGTTCAGATGACCAAAAACTAAATTCTTAGGTGTTACATATTAGTATACTCTTACATTGCAGTTTTTGTATTTTTCCTCAGAAATAAGATATTTTCCCGCGGTAAAAAGTATCCTAGGATCGCGCGCTACATCGCCCGGTTTATATAGCTTGAGCAGGCGGTCGAGCGATGCGGGGCAGAGGGGATGGACTCGCCGTAGGCATCTCAATGCTCGCCAAGCATTAAAAATGTTTCGCTACTAATTACTTCTAACAACGATATCTCAAAAACTATTCATCTGATTGATTTAGTGTAAAGAGCAATTTTAATCTGCATTAAATGACTAAGCTAACTAAAATATTCATTTGGATAAGGATTAATACCGAACTAAAGAAAATAACTTTGAAAATAACGTAATGTTTTTAATTAAAAATGTTAACATAAAAGTGGTTATTGTAAGTCAACCGTAAGAGATAGAGATATGCTATCGCGGACTTTTTTGTAGCATTTTTATAGATTTTGAATTCTCTAGTACATTACTTAACTGTATCTTTGCTAGTTTACGCGGCGTTCGCGTGGAAAGTTCCCATTTGGCGAGATTTTTTGCGACCTCTTCAACATTTGTCGCCGTATTTCAGCTAATTTACATAAAAGCATAATAAATTATATACCTAAACCTTCCTCAAGAATTACTCTTTCTATTGTTGAAAACCGTATAAAAATCCGTTCAGTAGTTTTCGAGTTTATCGCGTACAGACAGACAGGAGGACAGACAGGAGGACAGAAAGACGCGGCCGGGGGACTTATTTTTATAATAAGTATAGATATATGCACGAGTACATCAATTACTCCAAGGCTTATTGGCCGTATATACCTATATATATTTTAATTATAAGTGTACCTATTCGATTTACTTGCTTATTTTTTTGAAATTATATAAATATCTATTATCGAAGTCATTTTGTATAATTTTGGTGATTATTATTAAATAATGGTCATCATCAGATGAAATGATTATGCTGAATATAAACGACTAAACTCCCTGAAAAATAGAAGTTCCTACATCAAATAGAATTCAAGTGAACTTTACATATTAACTAACACGGCATCGACAAGAATTCGCCTTAAAATTCTCGAAATAAGCCATGGAATTCCTTATTGTTTATATGATTATATTGTTTCTATTTAAAGATTTGATGAGCAACTTCCTTTCCCTGCCCATTTCTTAATCACTTGGGGTCGGCGCAGTACATCTTCTGTACTGCTGAAAGGATTTGGCAAACGTTTTACGACCGGCCGCCTGCCTGACATCAACCCTGCTTGGGAATGCTATTGTCTCTCTTTGTCTGAAAGGTATCGCAGAAGTCTTGTTATATGCATATATGAAATCTTTTTATTTTTTTGTCTTTTAAAACATTTTTTATACTATTACTTAAATTTTTAATGTTATTTTCGGTTATATTTTAATTTACAAATTTTGATTACACAATAAATTTTGTTTTGACGTCAATTTTTTCCTAAATTATGATCTTTTGATGAGCAATGTACCGCATCACGAGAAAACCACTGGACAGATTTTGATGAAATTTAGTATGATGATAGCTGGTTATCCGGGTCAACATAAAGGTTACTTTTTACCGCGGGAAAATGTCTCATTTCTGAGAAAAATACAAAAACTGCAATTTACGAGTATACTAAAATGTAAAACCTAAGAATTAGGTATTTGGTCATCTGAACGCGGGCGGAGCCGTCGGCAATGCTAGTTTTATTATATGTATAGGTAAAATAAGACCTCGTTGCTATATTGTTTTATGTAGTTAAATTCGTTATAATATGTCGTAATGCCGTAAACATTGAAATTATAGAAAATATGTGAGATAAGTGATACGTAAATGATCAAATAGGATGTCTTACCTAAACAGTACGTCACCTTTATACCAATACGCTCTCAATGGATTCACCGAGGTCAGCACGACGTATACTCCAATATCGAACTTATGGCCGTCTACCAGAAACGGTTTCTGAACGTACTCCTGCACGAAACTTTCGCTACTTGACAAATCTATTGCAGTCACGTTCTTTAAATACACGCCGCGGTGTTGATTGTGCTTTTCCAAAAACAGTGCATTTCTATTTTCACTGGCGTATTTTAAAAAATCCTTTTTATTTTTCGGCAGTTTAAAGGCTTTGGGAATAAATTTAGATTCGGTAGTTGCCAAGTCCACTTTGTTCGTGATGAAGCCGGTGCCGGGGAAGTGGTTCACCTTCTGGTGCGGCTGCAGCGCGTGCAGGTGGGGGTAGAGAGCCCTGAAAGGGTAATCATGAGACCAGAGCAGCGTCCACGGAGTCCTGTTGCTAGACATCTCATATCCGAACCTTTCCAATACTAAATGCACGTGCTTGAGCAAGCCATTTTTATTTTCAACGTCGCTGTGGGCGGAGTACACCCAATAAAGCTTTCTGTCCCGCACATAATCTTTGTGGACATATTCCTTTTTATTCTGTACATTTATTATCTCTAACAGAATAGCCAAAGAGACTCCTATGATACATATTAACAGAAATATATTTATATTTGTGTCATTTCTGATTAAATGAGTATGTCCTTTTGTGCTTTCTTCCTTCACAATATTTTTATCTTGTATATTATCGTTTTTGTCCAATATTTTTTTAGTCTAAAAATAATAATAGTGTATTTTTAACTACAATGCTATAATAAAATAATGTTGTAAAGGTTTCTTTCATCATAGAATTGGAAATAAGATATTAATATTAGTAATTTCACGAAAGAATTGATAAAAATAAAGATTTGGTCTAATGGGATTTATCTTCAGTTTTTAATTGCTAAATATTTATTATATTAATAAATTGCATGTGCTTACATCACATAAAATGATATATTCATATCCATGTTACATATATTTTGATTTTTAATTAAAATGTAAAAATATAGTAAACGTGGTAATATTTATTTAGTTTTTTTTTTATTTCACATAATATTTAGCAGTAGGTAGGTAGTTAGGTAGCAATGTTGACTGGTCGTAGACTTCACCACCACCATCACCACCTTGGCAACGCCAACTACCACTTATACCTGTATAATTATTGTTGTACCATTCTTGCTACATATGTATTTTACCTAAAGATAATTTTAAGTAGTAAAATTTAATAAGAACGAAAATATGATATTATTTATATAACATTAAAACAAATCTTAGAACTTACAAAGTTGTAAGATAAAGTGAAATTTCTAGTGTAGGTGTAGAAACTTAGGTAAACTTTATATTCTCAAATGTTAAATAAATATATGAGAACCTAATGTGAAATTTACGTAACTATTCACCTACATATTATAAGACGTCTAATAAATCAAGATAAAGAAGAAGAGTAAAAATAAAATATTATGTATTTCAAAATCGACCGAAATAAGTACCTACCATGCCTCCTACCTACCTGCTCATGTTTCAAAGTATGTAAGGCAAGAATAGAAATTACTTTTCTAGATTAAATTATAAGCGTCATTTACGTTTACTCACATCTTTATTATTTTGCTCGTCTTCCATTTTAATTTTTTATCTGAGTTTCTAGCCCATTCGATTTTTTTATAAAATTACACTAATACAACACAATTTTATCTTAACTCTAAATAACTAATAAATTAAACTAAAGGCCGAATAGTTAGCTGTATTTTTGCGCGCGTAAACCTGCGTACAGGCAAAGATCTCGACATATACGACCATAGTGAATCCATTCATGTTGAAGCGAAACAGCACGCATTCGTCCACGTCTGAATGAGATAGAGATAACTTTCTAAACCAGTACCGGCTTTTTAAGGTCACATCAATGGAATATTATGTACATATATTATGAAGGTTACAGTTATTTGTTTGCTATTTTTTATTGTACATACAGTTTTTCTGTCTTTGGTCCTCTTTCTACTATGGTTTTTACTTGTTAAACCAATAGAAGGTATATGTTATGTTATGTAGATAGGACTCGATTTTATACCTTCATAATTCCAGATTCAAATATTTGCTGTGGCTGGGGATCTAATCTGTGGCCGTTCCTTTATAGTTTATTAGCGGCTCAACCCTCGCTTCGCTCAGGTTCGCCTCTAGAGAAACAAAAACAAATCTATCCCACGGGAACCGTACTTACATTTTTCCGGGATAAAAAATAGTCTATGTGTAATTCTGATGTATGAGCTATATTATTGTAAGGTTTCATTAAAATCCATTCAGTAGTTTTTGCGTGAAAGAGTAACAAACATACGTCCATACATCCATACATTCTTCAAAACTGTCGCGTGTATAATAATAGTAGGAATTATTACTCCGCACGGGTCTACACTGTGGTAGCCATGGTGGCTCTGGCGGGCGGCTCACATAGATTATAATTAGGTAGCTGAAACCTCAAGGAATGCAATGCTGCTGGATTAGGTCTACAATGAAGCCGCAAATTCTTAGGCTGCAAATGCTTTCAATTATAAACACATACCTAATATCGATATAGGCTTACGTGTACAATAATGATTATTGTTATACTGTACAAGGCAGTGGTAGCCCAGTGGTAATGCGCTCGCTTAGGTAACGGTGTGAAGCAGGTTCAAAATCCCGGGTCTCACACCTCTGATATTTCATGTACATGTATTATTCATATGCATGTCTAAGAGAACCTAACAAGTTTTCGAAAGACATGTGAAGTCCTCCAACCCGCACTTGGCGAGCGTGGTGGACTATGGCCTGATCCCCCTCGTACAGAAGGGAGGCCCACCCCCAGCAGTGGGACGTCAAAAAGGGCTGAATACAATTATTTAAGCCATATAATTGTTCTATGTGTTATTTAAAAAAGTTAAATTAATTGAGGATAATAATTTTAATTTTGTTTGCTATTATTTAAAAAGACAAATTACTAAGCAACACTATTACTATATACTTTTACAAATGAAAACTGAAAAATATTAATCTGAAATGCTGTCATTTTGATCTACACAGTAAGAACTTACTACATCTACCTGTCTGTTATGTTTAGATTTATTATTTGATTTTATTATATTAATAACAGGATCCCATGACGATGGTAGTACCAATAATTGATATGTTCATTTTTCTTCTAGATTACCAACCGATACCGTGAGGTTTGTGGTTGAGGCTCAAGTGATGACAGTTATTGTCTCTTAACTAATTGCTCCTCTTCGGCGATCCTACATTATGCATTACTTATGTAAATGGAATATGGCATGGCTCATGGGGCGTGGGCAAAGTGATAGTATCTCAATTTTATTTCGAGGTGGATAAATCGCTACTTTATGTCAACAGTAAACTAATAATGAATATAATAGAAGCGATCGATATCAGAGGCGTCCAATAACAATAATGTGCTGAGATCTGTTTGCGGTTTTATCAGACTGTTTGCAGCGCGGCAGCAGACAGGACGGCGGGCGCCGGGGCGCCGCGCGCTTGTAGCTGCCTGCCGACCACTATTTGTATTTAGTGCTTTGCAACAAACTATTACATTGTGTGACTACGTAAATAAAGTCGTTAGTTATGTCAGATTATTATTAATTTATTACATATTATATTGGTATTAAATACAATTATTATTTTATAGAAATATACGCATATCAAAATATAAAAAAACTAATTAATAGAAAAAATGTGAATCTGACTCGTGATTTGAGGACTCCGTCCCACCAATCATTATATTTTTCTTATGTTTATTTTTGCATAATTTAATATGTTAAAGGAAAATGAAATATTTATGCATACGCAATATTAATTTTATGGACAGTAAAAATGAGATTGTATTTCATGTCTATTAGTTTATAAAAAAAACTATTAAAAACAAAGTTAAGTAGAAAATATTTTGTAGGAATTTTTCAATGGATATTTAAAATTTTCTAACTTTCGAAATGGGTGGATGAGACGTTTACAATTTTAACTCATCTTTATGGAGTGCCTAATGAACACCCAAAATTTTTGATCGACACGTCCACGTCGAGGAAAACCTGTTTAGAAATTTATATTTATATTTTATTATTTTATTTTTTTATTTATTAAAAATTATCTTAAAAAGATTTATTGACAATTTATAGTTTTTAAAAAGGTAAGTTGAAATCTAATGCCAAATAAAATATAATACCCCTGCAATTTATATTGAAATAAAACAGTTAAGTTAAATATATTTGTGCGAGTCCCCGCTACATATCGTGAGGCGGCCGGCAGTCCAGGAGCCGGCGTCGGAGCGTCTAGCTGTCTTCGTAAAGAGCGCCATCGATCGCATCACGCACCCGAATCGCTCGACACGCCGGCGCCCACACTATCACAGCTATTGTCCGACTTTCAATGCGAAATGGTTTGCCTCAATGCTACTTTGTAACTATGTACCTACTATAGAATATTTTTATTATACTATAGTAACTCTGTAGGCTTTAAGCTTGTATCACTTGCGTCTAGTGAGTAATGTCGATTGTCCCCATCAGCTTAGAATTCTTAACTTCTAAGATGCTTTTGTTTAAAATGTTAACTGTGGTTATATAATTATTTTATGCTAGCAGAACCCGTGGCTTCGCTCGCGGTAAAACTATAAAGAAATCTTTAAAAAGGTAGTTTCATACAAACTTTCATCCCCTATTTTACTCCCTTATAGGATGAATTTCGAAAAATGCTAAAACTCGTATTTATATAATTTTATTGAAGAGCATTAGCACCAAGTTTCAAATAATTCTGATCATAAATATTTTTTGGAGAGTATTATAATTTTTTCTCGTGGGATTTAGATAATCTCCCGCGATAAAAAGTAGCCTGTCACTATTTAGCCCTCCAACTATGTTCACACAAAAAAATACGCCAATCCGTCACTCTATTTCGAGGTGAAAGAAGGACAAACAAAGAAACTTTCACATTTATAATATTAGTATGGATAAGAGCCTCTTTCTTTCTGATTGTATAAGTACTAATAAATGTACGAGTATATAGATAACTAGCGACTTACCCGTGCTGCGCTTGGGTGATTCCCTAACCGCCTAATCGTCAGTAGCCTATGGTACTCTAGGTAGGCTCCACTTCGTATTCTGATTAATTATTACTGAGTTAAATTCCGATAAAGGTGACATCGAAAAGATATTTGCCGTACCTATGTTATTCAGGCGGCCGTTTAGAATTGGGGACTTGGCCCCTAGCGGAGTGGGTGGTATTTCTGGATAAGGGACGTGATAGAGAGTCGAAATGTTAAATAATTTTTTTAATACAACAAAAGAGTCAAAAGTTATTGAGACTTAAAGTTATAACATTTCCATACATTATTTTGACATTACTACCATTTAGACACTTGGAGTCAAAACGTCACTTTCAATTGTCAAAATGATCTCCAGATGATTGTCTTTATTTGTACTTTGCGTGAAATTCGAATTTTCTAGTTTTCTAGTCATTTATGGCACTCGCCGGCCGCTACCGCGGCACGCTCGCTTCGCTCGCTCGGCTCGTGCGTTGTGGCAACTGTTCTAACCTAACCTAACCAAGATATGACGAATAATTAATAAATAATCTTAAATGTTCTAACCTAACCTAACCCAGATATGAGGAATAATAAATAAATAATCTTAAATGTTCTAACCTAACCTAACCCAGATATGAGGAATAATAAATAAATAATCTTAAATGTTCTAACCTAACCTAACCAAGATATGACGAATAATTAATAAATAATCTTAAATGTTCTAACCTAACCTAACCCAGATATGAGGAATAATAAATAAATAATCTTAAATGTTCTAACCTAACCTAACCCAGATATGACGAATAATAAATAAATAATTAAAAATATTCACAGATAAAAAAATGATTTTTTTTACTAAATGTACAATTGTAAAACAATATATTTTACATAAATCAGATAAAAAATCATAAATGTATTTATCAAATGAAAATAATATTTTTCTTTTTATTTATTTATTTATTAATATTAATATTTTACCAACAGAAAAAGCAAAAATAATCAAATATAATCTGTTGTCATTTAAGCGGTAATATAAAACAAAGTGTCAGTTTTGCTTTTGTCAAAATGTAAGATCATTTTGTTTGTGTTGTGAAATTATTAAAATATTAAATACAATAAAGCATTAATTGTTGTGAAAATGTGTAATGTACATAAAAAAGGATGCGTACTATTCGTTAAAGGTATGTTTATCTGTTGTAATCACTTATTTAGGTAAAGAAATGTATGGAAATGTGTTAGATATGTAAGTCTCAATAACTTTTTACTCGTACGTTTCCTCCAAATATTTTTAATATATTTTGACTCTCTGTCACCTCCCCTATCTAAAAATACCACCCACTCCGAATGGTGGTAAAGAAATATATGAAAATGTATGGAAATGTTGTAACTTTAAGTCTCAATAACTTTTGAATCTTTTGTTGTATTAAAAAATTTATTTAACATTTCGACTCCCTATCACGTCCCTTATCCAGAAATACCACCCACTCCGCTAGGGGCCAAGTCCCCAATTCTGAATTTGTGCCGTTATTCATAAATGATAAAAATAAAAAAATATTATAAAGGATTTTTATCTAATTTAGTACCTTTAAACGAGCAATTCTTGTATATTTATTTACGTTTTCGGAGGCGAAATATCGATCTAGATTAGTCTTATGTCTGGGAAAACTTGCGTGTTTTCGAGTTTTCATGTGGTTTTCTTTCGCACACTCTGGCATAAGCATGGTGGTCAAGCGGCCAAGGCGCAAGATTGACAATCACGGGTGTCCAAGTTGGAATCCCGATCGCATACAAAGTTTTTACTTTTATTTATTTTTTGTATTTATTCAAGTGTTGGCACTAACTTCTGGGTCGGCGAATTTTCAATAAAACACGTTACTTGGACTTGGTGAATTTACTATTCACGTTCCAACACTTATACAATCACTTTCCTTATTCCTTTAATTTTACAAAAGTTGATTAAGAACTGAGCTATATTAGGACATCACATTTTTATAAACTACCCGAGACAATCAATTGACTTAAAATAGTTCAATAAAAGAATCAACAAAATCACTTTATTTAATTAAATTAGTTCAATATTTTTTAAATAAGATTATAATCATTATCTATACCAAATAATATTTATTATACATTCATGGAGTGATTTATGATATTACATATATTTTATGATATTACATATATTATAGGCCAACACAAGTTTTTAGTTTTTTTTTTTTGGTTTTTAAGCCAAATTAAAAATAAAATCGTACTTTTGGCCAAAAACTCCGAGCTAAGCTCGGTACTTTCGGTACTTTCATTTTATACAGTGTTTTATTTATTTTTTAGCAAACTTTTAGACAAAAAACTTATTATTTATTAATATATGATATAGACATATATGTCTCGTATAAGTATGTAGAGATATATTTTCCAATATGATAATTGGTATTGTCTAAAAAAAATCAACAAACTTTTACATGCAATTAATAATTGTAAAGAAAAAGTGCTAGCTTTTTTTATAGAAGTACTTCTAAAATAAAGCTTATCTCATAGATCAATATATAGAAGTTATTAAGAAATGTGCCATGCGTTTTGTGAATTTATTGTTAAAAAATGTTAAATCAGTATTATAATGTATATCAAAATGTCACGAATATCGACGGGGTGAGTACACATTGAAATAAAAGAAGTAGTAATAATTATGAAAAAGTTGATTTATTATTATTATAATTATAATAATTATTATAATACAGTTTACAATAATTACAAGCGATCACCAAACGGGGTGAAAGAAAACGGCGTATTAAATTATCAGCCGCCCGCGCGTGTCGCGCGCCGGTCGCGCGGCGGCCGCCCCGCGGGGCTAACGTCCGGGCGCGCCGCGGAGACGCGCGCCAGGCGCGGGCACTCGAGTTTAGGATATAGTCTTTGTAACGCGAGGAACAAAATATTACACAAGTCGAGTATTATTTATAATCGATTCGGATTAAATCGGTTCGGCGAAGCGGGAGAGAAGGCGGGGCGGCGGACGCTATGTACATGCCGCTACGGGCAGTCGCATTCTTCGACCACCATCTCGGGCAGGTCGCGCTTGATGATGTTCGAGTCGGCGCCGAAATAGATGAGCGAGAGCGCGGAGAAGCGCACGGGCGCGCAGCACGCGGCGCGCTCCAGCCGGGCCGCCTCCACCACCTGCACACGCACACTACTCGTCTAAGCCGACCTCCACCTGCACTTGCCAGTCTGGCAAGTCCTGAGTGCGGTAGGCGATTGGTACTTTGGCTTCAGGCGGAAATTAAACTTTGTTTGAATGGCATTTCAGTAATTAAAAAACGGAACATAACTGTTACATAATTTGACAGGAAGGTGTGAATAGCGCAATTTGGTTTTAGGTAGAAGTACAAAAGAATTGGAACAAAAATTTACAAATAAATAAATTATTTTATCTACTTTTTGGCTTAATTGTTTTTTTTAAATTGAGTAATCCACAACGAGACCTGCGAGTGATAGTTGGCGTAGGACTCGCACGTGCCGCGGCAGTAGTTAGCGTAGTAGCCCTCGGGCGCGACGATCCAGTCGTCCCAGCCCAGCGCGCGGAAGCTCACATAGTAGGTCTGCCGGCAGCAACGGCCACCGGCGGCGGCGTCACAGTCGAGGGCCCGGCGGCGACGCGGCGCGCGCGCTGCCAGGCGGAGGCGCAGCAGCGGGCGCGCCGCTGCCGCGCCGCCCAATCGCAGCCGCACGCGCCCCGCGCAGCCGCTGCAGTCCACCAGCAGGCGCAGCGGCCCGCCCGCGCCCGCGCCCGCCCAACGCCGCACCGCGCGCGTCACGTCCACGCGCTGCCAGCCACGCGCGCGCCCGGTGCCACCCGCCTCCGTGCTGCCGGCCAGCTCACCCACCGTCGCGTTCCCGTGCACGGTGAACGCCCACAGCGTGTAGCGCAGGCGACGGGCCTTAGGCGTCGCCTCGGCGCGCACCATCAGCTCGGCGGCTGCCACCGACAGCCCCTGCTCCGACTCGGCTTCCTGGCCGAGTCGGAACTCGATCAGACGCTGACCATTGAGCGTCTCACCTGATAACAAAGAAACTTTCTTCGTGGAATAAAAGCTAAATTTGTAGTTGCCTTAAAACTCCTACGGCGAAATGACTCCAACAGCGGTTGATGTAAGGAGGGGAGGGGAGGGTGCGGCCGGGTGCAGGCGTTGGTCGCTCGTGGCTGCGAGCTGCACTCGCCCGGACAACGAATATAGTCGTGCGTACACTGCGCCGCTCGAATACAAACGTTGGCTCGAGGTCGCGCTGCCGCGCGCACTCCGACATGACTTCTATTCTCTCCTAAGGATGAGGGATTTCTATAAGTTAATGACATCAACTGCTGTTATTTTTATGATTATTAAATAAAAATTTTGACTACGCATTTTCCAACGGTGATATACTTAGATTCCAGAGGAGACCCCGCGCTGCACATGATGAGATCTGTAAAACAATTTTTTTTTAATAATGATGTATAAAAAATTTCAAGTAATAAAACTAAAATTTCAAGTAATAAAAGTAAACTTCAGTACCTAAGTTTTATTATCTATATGTTTTAAATCGATACTAACAAGTTATCAACATTCAACATTGCGTAATGTATTGTTTAGTTCGATGGTTATCCCCTGCTAATGCCTACAGTAGACGTATAAAGTGCTATGATGAAATTATTGTTTAAATTCAATCTTGGCTTCTCTAATACATCTTTATACACTATGCGGATGACATTACAGTTACATTACTGACTGTACCTAATCGCTTTATTTAATAAACTTTTAATGAGCTAGTTTTCTTACAAAATGATTGCAGCCCTTGGACGACCGTGTATGTACGTATATTATTTTAATAAAATAAAGTAACACTAGCCATATGACTAAAGTCCACTCCTTACAAGTAGGCTCAATTAAAATATTTCGGATATTCCACATTGTACATACTCGTATTAGTACAAAACCTGACAATTTTTGCAAAGCCTGCGGAGCAGTATAGGCAACATGAGGCCGCAGCGACAGCGTAGAGAAGACTGGTAAATCACATTCGACGCAGTCAATGTCGTATGGCGTCCAAGACGTGTAAGGTGGTGAATTGGCTAGTTAAAATTAGCCATGGTTCATGGGGTTAAATAATTCACATAATATTGAACGTGTCGCCGTGCACTGTTATGCAACTTTGCTATCGATTCTTATGCCCTCTTTAATTTAGTTACGAAAAAAGGCAGGTCTAGGTTGTCCACACATACTTATAATTACCTTACGTTTTAACTGTTTACTTCTCGTAAGAAATTCACCACCACTAAACGTGAATTTACCTACATTGTAAAAAAAATGTTAAGTGTAAAATTAAAAATATAAATGTATCTTTTGATTAAGTACAGTAGCATCAAATCTTTACGGAATACTCTATGAACTTAAAACTGCACAGAAGATAAATTAAGAGGCTACCTCCGCGTACACTCTACCACGTATCTGCATCGTGCACGTAAGCACGTGCCGACAAGACGCTCGCCCAACCGTGGGCGATGGCTTTTGGGCGATGTAGTAGCATTAACACGGACTGCCTCGTGATTTGTCCTTTTGCTAATTTTGATTAAATATTAATCTTTTCAAATTAATAAAATCCGTTGACCTGGTTGTACAAGTAAATTTAGAGCACATTGTTAGGATTTTCAGCTTTCAGCCTCCCAATAAAATAATAAAGTGTGCCACATACAAGGTTCTTTCAACAGGTACATGCTGGAAAGTAATTTATAAAAGTTGCCGGAACGCCCAATATAAATTATTCTAGATGTAGATACTTCAATTTTAAAAAGCTACGTAGATTTTGCTTTCGATTCTGCCAAAATTGATGAAAATTAGCCTGAACTCTACAATATTAATAAATTTATTTTGAAAATGAAATAAATTTCCAAATATTTGGTTAGTAGCTTTAGTACGAGCCGGACCCATGCACCGAGGGTATGCATACAATATGATATTTGTGTTACATACATACATTAGTGTACAAATGAGATACTCCTTATATTGGATTATAATCATTGAAAGCTCTTTTTTGAAGTAAAACTCTTTTGCGCGCGCTTGACTTGGGGAGTAAGCTGGTGAATGTGTAAAGAGAGCGTTACGAAAAATGTGATCGGTCGAGGCGAACGTTTGTTCCCATGGTAACCGTTGTCATTGTCTGACAAATGATATATAATATTATATTCTTTCCTTAAATGATATTCTATAAATATATAATTGTAATATGTCTAATATGCGTTATTTAATTATTTTTATTAAAATTTATCATTCCTTTTATAAACAGAGAATTGACATACAGGATGAAATCTTTGGCTATTTTTGTGGTTACGCCAAAGAAGTATAAGTTCTTACGTGCGTTCGTAAGTACACACAAACGTTATTTTTTTAAATATTATATGTATATTATTAAAATTATTATTTTGTATAAAAATATATATTTTTTATAATAAAAATGAATATTTATTACTGTGGGATTAATATGCATAAATTAAATAAAAGCTATTAAGTCTAATTGTTGCCATGGTAACCGTTGTTATTGTCTGACAAATGATATGTCATAATATAATATTTTTTCCATAAATGATATTCTATAAATATATGATTGTAATATGCCTAGTATGCCTAATTTAATTATTATTGATTTGTTTTAATTTAATTGCAATATTTGACAAAGAACTTTTTCTTCAACCGCGCGTAAAGGTTACACGCACGCATTTTTTTTTGTATTTACGCTTTACACTATTAATGCTACAATTTTATTAATATTTTTACAATAGAGCAAAATTAGATTTTATTTTGCTTTTTAATTTCGTTGGAAATCTGTCAATATACTATAAGCTAGTAGTAAATAGTAATAGTGTTGTAACTGAACCTTTTGATTGCACCATATAATATTGAAATCTGTAGAGTTCACTAATTTTCGAGGTATCAAAATACTCAGGTTCTAAATTGTAGTATGATTCCATCCTATCCAATCCCATATTGAAGTAAAGTAAAACTCAAGACTAGTATAATATAGAGGCGGCTCCTATATTATATCTCAGCTATTGTTCTATAGCTGACTATTTTGCATCACTTACTAAAATGATGGCCTTTACTGGACACTGCTGCTTAAATAAGCACATGTTCAACCTGGGGCTCAGCGAAACGCGAACCTGCAGAATTTGCAGGGAGGCAGACGAAACGCCACTGCATCTTCTGTGGGAATGTGGACCGCTCATGCACAAACGTAGTATTCATCTAGGTAAACAATTTCCAAGCCTAGATGAAATAAAAGAGTGTAAGCCTAAGAAAATCCTGCAGTTCTTAACATCAGCAGGGTTTAGTGGTTCACTCTAGTACAAAATGGCGGCGATCACAATAGACCAGAAATGGTCGCAGTGATATAAAAAAGCCGCCAAACAGAAATAAAAAAAAAAAAAAATACTAAAATGATTTTTGCGAGCAGAAAGGAGCTATTGTTGTAATTTATTAATTAATCTCAAGTATTTTCAAGATATATTGCTTTAAGAATATTAAAATAACGTGCCGCTTGACGCTTCTCAAAGATTTCCGAAAATCTATACTTATTAATTAATATAATATTATAAAGAGGTAAAGTTTCTGAGTTTGTGATATTGTGAGTTTGTGACGTTGTAGGGGGTAATCTCTGGATCTACTGAACTGATTTAGATGAAATTTGGCATGAAGATAGTTTGAGATCCTGGGAAGGACATAGTATACTTTTTATTATACTTTTTATCCCGGAAATCATCACAAATCAAAAATTGGATTGAGAAGCAAGCTAGAGAAAAACCCGAGCGAAGCGATGGTGAGTCGCTAGTAGCTGATACTCACGCAGGATAAGAACATAATTATTGTATTGATATATTGTACATTTTAATTATATTTAATAAAAAGAGCAACTTTCATAAGAACTGACTAAACTGACATATAATATAAATTTTAAATGTAAAATTGACGATTTAAGTGTTTTTATAAGTCTATTTGAATAAAGTATATTTTGATTTGATTATAAAAATGAAAAGATCTTTCGCCGACTTTAGGCGGGACTGAGGCATTTTTACGATTCTGTATTTTTCTTTCCTAATCGATATAAAAAAAATATTATTTAGTTCAGAATTTTAAAATTATTTTAAACTGAATAAAAATATACTACTTATATTAAAAAAAAATATATATATAAATAATTTAATGAAATATAATATCAATATAGACAGAACTACTGCCTTTTATTTAAATGTAAAATCTTACAAGTGCAAGGCTCGGTCGTGCGCCGCCGCGCGGGATCCCTCACACTAAATATTTTTTGACTTACGTAATTTATTAGGATAAAAGTATTCAACAGCTATATTCATATTCTCAAAAAAACGCTGATAAGCAAAGTTGCGGCCGCTAACCTTCCATAGCGTGCACCAAAAATATTAAATACTAGCGACTCACCCTCGCTTCGCTCGGGTTGTTTCCTAGATACGTTTTAACGGTTAGTATGGAATAGATAGCCTTTATATTATATGATATATAGCCTATAGCCTTCCTCAATAAATGGGCTATCTAATGCAAAAATAATTTTTCAAATCAGATTAGTAGTTCCTGAGATTACCGCGTTTTGAAAATAGCATTTTGAGAATACTACTAAGTATCCAGAGGTTTATATATTAAGAGCGCAATGTTTGCAGCAATTATTGTCTTAATGCTTCTAAAACTTATTACGTTTTTTGCCTTTTGGCCAAGGAATATTTAGGTTTGCTGTTGGTTATTATTGAAAGGAAAACTACGCACAGTGAGGCGTTGCGTGTCGACGCCACCGTCACCTCTAAATTTGTATTTTACCCGCGATATATTTTTTCAACACTATATTAATTTTTGAGGTACAACATTTATTAGCAACAGTAACCGCGAACGAGCCCGCGTAATCGCCGCTGAGTTAATCTAAAGCTATTTTTACATCATTCGCACGCAAGTTCTACAATTCTAGAGCTTCTAGCCGACCTGCCTCATACCTTATAACTACAGTGTAATAATTTTTAGGTTTATTGATCTTTCATTTTAAATATATTAATTAAAATTTTGATAGCATTCACCTACAGGGCCTTGCAGTATTTACTATTTTATGTGTATAAATAAAACAAAAAATATATATATGTAAAATACTCTCTTCGCCAATTGTGAGCCTATTTTCATATACATATTATAAACATAGTAGCGCCTACCTTTTTGAACTCTGTTTATCTATAAATTTCACACGCACCTCAATATAATGTGCATCAACTCAGAATATAACGTATTCAGAAACAGTTTATGAGATACGTTACTTTTTCATGTAGAATAGATATCTTCCTTCGTATAAAGACAGATTGAAGTACTTTGGCGACACGTTTGGCTCATTTGCAGTGACCCCACCTTCCTTGCTGTGTCAGCGGTCACGGGTTTGAGTCCGCTTGGGCGCATTAATTTGTGTGATGAGCACGAATGTTTGTACCTACTCAAGTCCTCGGTATTTATATTTATAATATATATGTATTTAAAGTTATATAATATGTGTAGTGTATCAACTATCTGGTATCCATAACAAAAGCCGCATAGCTTACCATGGAACTAGATGGCGTTGTGTGTTAATAAAAAAAAAACTTTGTGATGGACGACGACGTGTCGATACGAAGGCATAAATAACTACATGATATGACTTTCTTTTTTAAAATATTAAGAAATAAAATTGATTGTCGTGAACTCCTAAAATCCATAAATTTGTGTATTCCAGCCGTATGTGACCGAAGAGGTCAGTCGGGGCTGGGTTACTGCATGCAGTAAATGCCAGAACTAACTTAAAACAGTTTTCAGTCATATCTCGATTGTCGAAAGCATATAACACTATTTGCGGGAGGTGGATGTTTTGCTGATATAGAACCTATTGGCTATTACTATTTAAAAACATATATTAAAATTATTAAGTAAGTGCAAGTTGTTATGTTTTTCTTTATTCGAGTTTATTCCTTTTTAGTTTGTATTGTTATTATTGTAATTAACTATAATTATGTCATAGATAGTTTGCAATTCTGTATTACGGAAAGGGAGAAGGGGTCACGAATTAAATTTTAAAGATTTTTAAATCTCAATTTCGTGCTATGCTTTAGTTTTAGCAGATTTCTTTACAAATAAATATTTAGCTTTATAAATAATGTATTAGTAAAATTATATTACCATTTTTTTACAAACTAAATAATTTTTAACAAATTTTTTTTACAAAGTAAAAACTGATAAAAGTAAAGTTTGTGTGTCTAGTTAATGAGTCGAGACAGGAGCCTCGAGTGCGAGTACGCTATATTAATTATTTATGTAAAACACAATTAAATCTAACTTAAAATGTAATATATAAGATACAATTGAAATAAATTTAATACATTCCGCGTACATGCTATGTATAATGTATATAATGTTTTATGTAAATCACTATG